TAGCTGGGACCACAGGCACCCGCCACAACGCCTGGCTATTCTTTGGTTGCAGCCATCATTGTTGTTTGGCGGGCTCGGGCTGGGGATTCGAACCCGCCACCTTAGGTGTATGTGGCTGGCGCCTTAGCCACTTGAGCCACAGGCGCCGAGCCAACTTCGTTATTTTCATATGCATTTTTTCTTACCACTAGGAGGCAGAATATCTTCCCAAGTGTTTATTCATAGATTATATACCTGCTCTTCTGAGTTGTATGCTTTGAGACATGAAGAACACAAAAAGAAGGGACAGGGCCCTTAAATCTGAGACCATGGCATGACTTTCCCACTCTCCTGCCCCCAGGGTGAATTCTGACAGCAAAGGCTTAAGAATAGGGAGCAAAGATGCCTCTCAGAGCTGGCCCCAGGGGCCCTTGCCCAGGCTACTGCCAACCTACCAGGTCCCCTTCTGTGTGAGAGAAAAAGCCACTCCCTCAAAGGAATTTCTTTGCTTGTGTCTGTGGAAAATTCTCCAAATTGCTCGGCTAGAACAGGCTAGCCACAAACTGCCACCTGCCACAAACTCCCAGAATAAGCTGTCTGGGTGGCTCTGGATGGCACCACTGTCTACCAAGCAGGCCAATGCCATGGTTTGTGATGCTGCTGCTCACTAGGGAACTGGCTAGGCCCTGGGACACTCTGAGAATAACAAGACAAGCTCCACAGCACTTGGTGAGCCTTGGTTATCCAGGACCCTCCACTTGCAGGGCGCATGCAGTGCACACACACAGACACTCCATCTCCGGGGATGCAGGCGTTGCCTTCCTTTAGCCTATTTTTTCATCAAAATCACTAGATCTAATTCTATAGATTCCTAAAATGCAGAAGTTCTATTTCTGGAAATCCCACATGCTTATAGCCATACCCACAGTGATGGTAGAAGCCCATGGGCAAAGCCCTCCCTTAGTGTCCACCTTGGGCGGCATCTGGGCCCAGGCATGACAGTGCTTTGGGCCATAGGGCAGGCAGTGTCTCTACTTTGGCTTGCCCCACACCAACCCCCACATTTCCCCTTACCCCTGACTTTGGCTGTGGATCCCTGTTCCCCAACCCTGGTGTTCACCATTCCCCCTCACCCCTCCATATTCACATTCCTTCTGCCACCTTCCTAAACTATGGCAGAGACCATTCCTAGGCAAGGAGAGCAGTATCTGGAAAACAGGTTGGGAAGATTGCCCCAGTTCTTCCAGTGCTGTCCAATATGAAATCAAATGTGCATTCCCCCAAAACTATGTGGTATAAGGTATAATAAAAGCCAAAACAGAATAATCTTTAAAATCACACGATCAAAAGCAAAACAGTTTATGAAAAAAATGAACACTGCTCAAAGTTACAAAATCCAAATGTCAGATCTGAATGTACAGCCCACCAACTTTGCTGCCTAGAAGGTGCTAGTGCATCAGTTACCAGAAGCTGAAGAAGGAGTCAGAGAGCTGAATTCTGGCCCACTGTTTGGGCCCAGCTCCCAAGGGGGCCGGGGTAGGGCAGATCAAGGGTCTGGGGAGACTAGCAAGTTCACTTGCCACCCTGGAAATCCAAGACAGGCCTCTCAGGCCTCTAAGCTGAGAAAGCCTCTTAGGCTTCCCTGTTTAGATCTTATGAATTCTTAAAAAAAAAAAAAAAAAGGTCATGGTGCTGACCCTCCTGTATAGCTAATTGTTCGAAAACCTTTACAAGTCTTATCAGGAACTGAACAGTAAGCAGCTCTTCTGGGGGACCAGAGGACATCTCTCCACACTCTCTGGATTT